TATATAAACTGGCCCTTAACAGAGAGGTGTACTACAAAGCATGATTTCCTGCTAAACCAGATTCTTGAAAAACGGGAGCACCTTTTCAAATTAAATAGTGCAGGAATGTTACCTGCCCCAAGCATCACACATATATTTACACATATTTAATTCTTCCCCTATTTCAAAAAAATATATTTTTGATCTTCAGTTTTTAATTCGTTATTTACTTTTCATAACTGAAGAAATTTATGGTTCTTAGAGGTTAGTACTGATGTTAAAAGCACAACACTATATTTTTAAGTTTTCCTTTTTGTAATGTTGACAATGTTTAATCTATTATGCTTTGGTTAATATAGATTAGTTACATGTCCGAATTATATAACTACACACAATCAACCGTTATGAGAATATTAGATGAGAATTTGTCTGAATGCCTGTGATTCAGCCGTAGGTCAGTAGGGGGCGAACGCAGGCATTGAAGAACATGTATAAATTGATGAACTTCCTGGTTTTTCACCAGTGTTGGTTTCCTGTCAGCTCAAGTGACAATAAACCTCACTCAGATCCAGAATTCTGGTGTTGTATGGTTTGATTCCTTCTACAAATCATTTTATTTAACAATGGTGTTTTTATTTCGACTTCAGTTTCAAATTTTCTTACAGTTTTGGTGACCCCGACGTTTGCTGCAAGTCGAGTAGTGAGCTGTTCTGGTGTTTCAGCTGCTAGGCCTTGCGGTGGAAGCGCCGTATTGACATACGTTCTGGGCACCAGAAAACAGGTGAGCAAAATCGTTTTTTGCTTTCCATCTTTATAACCAAACAGGACTGTGCAGCGATCGGTGTTTCTGCATGTTGGGCTGTGTGTCGGTGCGTTGAAACAGCCCCGCTAAGTGTTAGCTTTGCTGAGCTAAGCCTGTGTGTCAGCTCAGCAAAGACAGCATGTCATTCGGCGTAGTCATAACAAACGTGGCTTAATGTGGACGGTAAAAGACGGTTTGAAAGCGTTTGAACATATCAGTCTGTGGGGGTTTAAAGCCATACAATAAATTGGGCCCTTTAGGTAGTGAAATATGTGTTTTTATGTTTTTTGGTGCGTGTTGCGTGTAAAAATATTCTCTCTTAGGCCGTTTTATGAGCTCTTTCTGAAAATCTAAGTGGGTCTTCTGCAAAAGACTGCACTAAACAGGTGGGGTACAACATTACAAATACATGGTTGCCACATGGGCAGTTATATTATGCCCGTCAAAAGGAAAAATCCATTGTAAATTCATTGATTCATTCATTGAATTCATTGTAAATTCATTCATTGATCCATTGAATTGTAATTTGTGATTTCCTGGTGGGGATTTTCGCATGGTTTTAAAAATCCTTATTCAAAGGTGTGTTATGCATGCGCGACATTGGGAATAAATCCAGGGGTCAAACTCTTTTTTTCTCTCTATCCTTGTTTGTGAGAGTGTGTGGGGTGGTTCTCCATTCAGCAGGTGTCCATTCACACGGATGTGTCATGTACTGATTCAGAATAAAAGTATTCTGTTTTAAGAAGTCTGGCACTGAAGTGACTGCTGGTGGATTCTGTGGGACATCTGTGGGTGGGCATAGACAGGTTTTGGGTTTTGTTTTTCTGTTTTAGTTTAGGGTAGCTGCAGCCGGGAAATTGTACAAACAGCAGGAGGTACTGGGGTGGACTGCTGTTTGGGTAGTCTCCGTCAGGGTCATCGCCTGCTAGGCATTGCGCCAGATTTCCTGTGCTGGGGTTACGTGTATGAATTAAAAATATGTCTGATAAATTTGTAGAAGATTTGCATAAATTCTAAGATGGGTCTCAGGGGGTGGTTTTATATCGGTCTTTTCAGGTTTATCTTGAAGATGTTGAATCTAAAAATTTAAGGCCGGAAAAAATGTTTTTGTTAAGATGTGCCAAGGACCTTGAATGACAAACTACTTAAATGACATCTGTGTCCGCAGACTAAGCTGTTAGAAAACACCTTGAAATATTGTTGTATAATAAGAATGTTATGTCCCTAAAGAGATGGAGAGTACAGAGTAGCTAGAGAGTGGATGAGGGTATGCGCTTAAGACAAAACATTTCTGGCTGAATAAACCTTATCTATTTAATTACATTTAATGGTTTCAGACAGGGTTTGAAAACTGAAATAGTAATAATTCAGCAGTATACCTGCAACTTTCTGGTGTCTTTAATTATTCTTCCACATAATTTAAAGAAAAGAAATGATAGTGATAAAACTTGAACCTACCACCACATGGTGTTGGTTGTAAAAACAAAAAGAGGTCAGCAGGGAAATTTGATAATAGTTCTGAGTTAAATCTGGTTGTTAGTTTACATATGAAACTAGTCCTTAAACTTGGACTTTGACTTTATTAATCTCTTCCAGTGCGATTACATTTTAAAAGTCTACAATCTTTGGTGTAAAACAAGTTCGATCAAAAGGGCAATATTGAACTCTCTCTCTCTCAGTATCTAGGTGTTATAGATTAGTCAGCAGCCTTTGTCTAGAAAAAAATATACAGTATATATATATAGGTACCAATATAATTTTCAGGTTGAAACCGTGTGTCAAAGCTATTTTTCCAGTTTAAGCTTCTGATCCTGGTCGAAATAGGTAGACAAAAATATACGCTTGTTAGCTGGTTTATTGAAAAAAAAATTAATAAAACCCTCCAAAATGAATGGGTCTGGCGTAATTATGAGCACTGGTAAAAAGCAATTGGTTACCATAGGCTTTCAGACAGACTGTGAGTTAAGTAGGGGGCTGGGGAGTGTATCAACAAACAGTGTGACAGGTCTACAACAGGCTCAGTGTACTGATGGTCAGATGAAAGAGCTTATGGACAGAGTAAAATGACTGGAGATAACTGTGAATAAACTAACTCAAGGGTTGACATCACAGCCTTTACAGGAAGAGGGGCAAAATCATGTGAGAATGGGAAAGAAAAAACATCTCCGATTAGGAAAAGTTGAGAGAAAAATTCAGTGGGCATCTATGACATGTTTCACTTGTGGGGATTTTGGCCATAGAGCTGTTGAGTGTCCAAATAATTGATAAAGTCTATAGAGGCTTGAATTTAAAGAAAGATTTTTTTGTTGTGTAATTCACTAAATATACAGAGATGTTTGGAGTCATAGGTGATAAGAAAAACATGGATATGTTTCAGCCTGTATAGATGAATAATGAAAGGAAAATTGAGTTTTCCCCTCATCATAGCGTCTGGGACAAGAAAAGTAGCAATGGGAACATAAGCAGGGGATTATTTTGGGTGTTATAAATTTTATTAGATGCTGGTGTATTAAACTGGTATGGTAGGAGGTTCCCATATTGGGATTTAAATGCTGCCGAAGTGCACACGAGCAGATGGGGTGAGTTTTTAAAGTTTGTAACATGATCTGTCAGAGCAGTGTAAAATATGGCTTTGTGGTATAGCTGGATACACATTAACATTACAGGCTGGTTATCTAAATTGGATGAGGGGGTGAATAGAATGGAAGCTTGTTTAGATCCGGCTCCCATAAGGAAGAAATGACAGAAGGTGTGTCTCCTAGAAGGAAAAAAAAAAAGAAAAAACAGCAGACTACAGCGGAAAAGATGTCTGAAAATGTACATGTGATGATAATTGTACATTTTTAGATATAGGCATTTTTCTAAACTTTATAAATGATTTTAAAAATAATGATCTTATTACACACCTGGAGTAGTAAGGCTGCTAACAAACCCAATTGAAATGGTAAAAGTAATATGTTC